GTGAGCATCCCCTGCCGACCGGTCACACCCGCCGTGTGCTCCTTGTCATGATCGGGAAATAACGGAAAAATCCACCGACAATTGATAGTGTAAATAATGGCCTAACAATTAGTATGAAAAACGCGTCAGTCAGCATTAATGATAAATTGTATTTGCTGACAAGGTCATTATATCGACCACAGAACTTACGAAATGACGACTTTAAACAAGACTGCTGATATTCTTGTCTCATCAACTTGTTTGTCAATAACTTACCTCGTTTTAGAAATTGTTCATATGTAGAGCATGCTCTTGCGTATCGAATCAACTGAGAGATATAAACCCCGTATGCAGGTGATGAAGGTATATTGCTGCATAGGGAAAGTTAACGATTTAAAAGTTAAAGTCATCACCTTTATCATAAAGCTTAATTGGTTGTTAGATTACTATTAATGTCTTTTTCTAGTAAAATATCCAAATGTGAAACAGATGTGTCAGACTCTGTGGTATCTTTCATTTCAAGCTCACCGGGATATATCGTATCGACATAAGAATGGAAATAACCATTGTTAATTGACAATACGTCGTAGATATATCTAAATGTCGAGTTGAAGGCCACAGCAAGTGTTTTCTTCTTTTCAAGTACAAGATTTTGAACAAATTCTGCTTCATATGAATACAAAAATAGGACTAATAACGGGGCGCAATTAGTACCCATGGGAATTCCAATAGATTGTTGGAAGACCTGGTCTCCGAAAACCACATAGATATTGTCAATCAGAAACTCAAGCATCTTTTTAATAGAGATGTTTCTGAATCTGAAACGAATCCGAATCTGAAAATGAATCTGAAACGAATCTGAATCGGAGGGATCTCGATTCCGATTTGAAAACTGAAAAAGATATATATCATCATAAGAAAATTTCTTCACTTATTATACAATGAATAATAATAAATATATTTATTTTTGTGATTTATTTTTCAATTTTACTATGACTAGGAATATATCGAATTTTAATTTGAAAAGTGTTTGATTCTCCTCCTTCTGAATTTAACTAGTTCACAATTACTATTGCAAAGTACCATCGCCGGATACCCACGGGTGATCTCGTCTTTTACTCATCACCCACTGATGAGTAAAAGATGAGATCACTCGTGGGCATCCGACGATGCTTAAATACAAGTACATGTATCTCTGTTTGATATGTCATTTAAAAAAATAGTGAATGATGTTATTATTTTGTCATTGGGATGGGGGTGTTATAAAAGGGACAAGTCAAATTCTATAGACAGAAAAACAGAAACAGGTACATTTTCAATTCACGGAAAAACCTGCTCGTAAAAGTAGCATTGTTGTATTATTCACCTACTTACATTATTTGTTTCTCGCAAGAATCGTGTTCTGGACTCTTTTTTAAAAAAAATATTCTGTGTAAATGCAGGGGCGTAGCTTCCATTGTGGCAATGAGGCAACTGCCTCACTAGGTTTTTCACCAACACCACCACCCCTTCCCAAAATTAACAATACATTTCAGATAATTCCTAAAATTAATTGCATTTCTTTTAACATTTCAAGCAGTTCTATAATGTTGAATTGAAGTTTTAAAGAAATAAAAGCAAAGTTTAATAAGATGGGCTTTCACCTTTAAATGTTTCAAAAGTTTTGTAAACATATTTATTTCCTCCTTTACATTCTTTTACAATATGTAGTATCATGCTGAAGTCTTAAATAAAGAAACAAGTACAGCAAATGAAATTATGTCGGATAAATAACCTTTAAGCAACCCCTTGGCCACTTTCTCGCAGGCCAATTTTTTGTCGAAAGTTTTCGGCGATTTACATTGATGTCTACAAGTTTTTAGTTTAAACGTTTCCTGTCATTTCCTTGATTGACGAAGAATGTAGCTTGTTAAAATGAATAGTTAAAAGTTTAATTTGTCTCCTACATCTCAAAGAACACAATTCTTTTGAGGAACGAATATCTAGTGAGTTGAACAATAAAATAATACAAAACTGATAGCTTTCGTACGTATTAAAAAGACACTTATTACTACATGTAGTATGTAATATGGCTGATCTATGGGATACAGTAACATTACGGGAATGGTGCGCAATTGAACAAAAATCAAGTCTACAAACTTTATTTATGAGGGACATAAAAGTAATTTGATCTGATTATATTGTGCAGTATATAGCGGCAAAATTAATAGGAAGGGGGGGGGGGGGGGCTGGTCTCCATGTCTCCCCCAGTTCTTACGGGCCTGATATTATGCAATTATTTTTGGACGACTTGAACTGAGAGGCCGTTCAGTGGCGATCAAGTGGTGGAAGGTGTCAAATAATCCAGCTTCGCCCCCTATTTTTCAGAGTTAGTAAATTGTATGTAATATAGTTGAACAAATATGAACTTGCCAGCCCCCTCCCCCAACCCCAACCCCCCTCCTTTGGGAAACACGGACGGACCCCTCGGAAGCTGGTCAAGGAGAATTACGCAAGCATAAAAAAGCCCCCACACACAGATTGTTTTTTTCACGTCCGGAGAGAATTGGGATTATTTTTTTATCAAAAAATTTCCTTTGAGTCGGAGAAATGGTGATGATTTATCTCCTTGTGGGAATTTATTAGTATGTCCCCCTCCCCGCCCTGAGCAAAATTCCTGGTTCACCCTTGACATTTCAGACATACTTCCTAGCCCCAAGAAATATTAATCTAGCTTACTTCATTAACTCTTATTTTTTTTTACATTGCTACAAGTAATGTACAAATATAACATCCATATACAATTTACATCATGGACTTATTACTCCCAGGATTTAGTGGTGGGTTTTTTTCAGAGGGGGGGGGGGGTCTCACAAACACATTATACCTCTTATAAGATTACAGATTGATATACCAAAGAAAAAAATCTATAATCATACGTGTGTTCATTTTCAAATCGGGATCAAGATCCCTCCGATTCAGATTCGTTTCAGATTCATTTTCGGATTCGGATTCGTTTCATATTCAGAAACATCTCTACTATCAACTTCAGAGTACTTGTGTGCACAATCAGAATGTTTTTTCAACAAAATAATTTTGCAGATGACCAATGACAAGGTAAGTAAATTTACGAGTTCCATTCGTATTGAAAAAGCAGCTGTCAATGATATCAAAAAGCCTGGACTTAAATTTATCCTGGGGAATGGTTGTATGTAAAGTTGAAAAGTCGTAAGTTTTTATGTTGTTGATTTTGGTAAAATTTTGTGATCAGAAATTTTCCAAAAGTTCCTTGGAATTTTTAAGTACATGTATTCACATCTGATTTACACCACTTCTCGAAAATATTGTTGCACAGTACTCCTGAAGTTTCTCCTTCACTGCTGTTGATATTTTAGTGAGAAGTAAAGAAAGAGGCTTGGTAGAACATTTACTGGAAACCGCTATGTATCTTTGTTTTTAAGGATTTGTAATATTCAGACTAGGAAATGCTGTGTAGATTTCAGATACAATAAGAATGAAAAAGGGTGATTATAACGAACAGTGATCGATCTCATAAAATCTTCAAACCATACAAATCTCTGGAAATTCCAGAAGTAAATCAAGTGTCGAGGAGGAGTAAGCATCCCCTATTGACCTGTCACATCCGCCATGACCCCTATGTATTGATCAAATAGACGGAACATTCCGTAGTCAAATTTAGTATAAAAGCAAAGGTCTAACAATTGGTTGGAAACAAGTCAGGATAGTTAAGAAGTTTGAACTAAAGGTAGTGATGAGAACATTGACAAAATGAGGTCAATCATTGAGGAAGCACCAAGGAAGTCAGTAAGATCTGTGCTTAGGGAGACGGATTGTGACAATGTAAGTATTTTAAGTGTATTTAGAATTCTGCGATTTGATTTGTGTCTGACTGCAAACAAGATTTCAGTAGTGCATCATCAAGAGCCAACTGACAGTTAAGAGTTGGTCGGAGTTTGCAAAAAAAGGGATTGAAAATCAGAGGCAGGAATTGGTCGACAGCATATGCTTCTCAGATGAAGCACATCTTTATTTAAATGCATCTGTAAATTAAAAAAAAACTTTTGGGATTCTGAAAAACCAAATTTTCATGAGGAGAAACCTCCTGCATGCGGACAAAATCACTGTTTGGGCTGCACTTTCGTCAACAGGGATCATTGGTCCTTATTTCTTTGAAGTTTCTGATGGAGAATGTTAAGTCGGAACAATATTTAAATCTTGAAAAGGATATTTTTACCAGCTCTCAAAAGGAAAACTACCAACTGGAGCGTGTTTAGTCTCAGTAAGATGAAGCTACACCACACACAGCAGTGGCAAAACGACACATTTTGAGGGCGTAATCTTTTACACATTACTGAAAAACCATGGCCACTACATTCAACTGATTTAAATCCGTTGGATTTTTTTTGCTTAGTGGATATTTTTAAATACAGTGTTTATACTGATAAACTTGATGGATCAAGTGAACTGAAGAACGACAGAAAACAAGAAATCAGCCAGATATCCAGTGAAAATGCAAAGCAGTGGTCAAAAATTTCCGCACATGGGTCCCTAAAGTTATTCAGAAAAAAGATAACATCTTGAGCATATCACTTGAAGTAATCGTTGCTATAGAAACTAAAATGGAGAATGTTTGATACTTCCGATTGTAAATTTTGGATATCTTTTGGTTAAAATGATATATGAAATGTGCATGTAGCTTGCATTTTAATTTTTCTTTCTGCCATTAGATGTGTGATATATATTATGAAATAAACTGCACGTGTATATGATAATGATTATTTTAAGACAAGTTGTACAGTAATAGTCATATGAAGATGATAGTAATGATTTCATTAACCACATGATAGGCACGAGATTATCTTAAGACAAACTGTACTATCAGCAATCATTGATGTAATTCGTCAAAGTTGTTTATGGATCGTTTATAATATCTATAAATAAATAAAGAGTATACGATAACTACTACTTTACACATATATATACTGACTCGGGGGATTTCGTCTGTAAACTTAAATTAATGTTGAAGATGATGCAGTTTCAATTATGTTGCATGTTTTTCTTTATGTCAATTGTCGCATGTAGTCCTGTGCAGCAAATTGAACATCTTAACGCTACATTTCCTTGTGGAAAATTAAGTGATGAGCAGAAATGTAAAATCCCGTTTGAATACTGTGATGTCATCCTGGAATCCTGTCAATCTTGTAACGAAGACATCTGCAGAGAAGAATCTCAACAGAGCTGCAATATATATTGTTCTGGTTGGTGAGATTTTTTCCCAGCACAATTTGTTTTCCCCTCACTGTTGTAAGAATAAAGCATTCAATGAACTTTATCTTTACTGTTCTAAGTCATTTCCCACCTTTTCTCATCCCCTTTCATTTGTGGCAGGTGTGATATTCTGACAGACAATTTTTCAACAACAATTGTTGTTTTGTCTCCTACGTGGCTAAATTTGCAGCCATCTACTGGCATATGAGTGAAAAATTCTCGAGAGGGACGTTAAACAAAACAAAAAACAAACAATTTCTTCTTTTTTTTTTAATTTTTATTTGTATTTTGGAATTCTTTATATCAATCTTAACAAAAGAGGCAGTAAATGTATGAAACATTTAATCAGTAGCAATAAAACTTTGGGAGAGGAGGAAGAAGACCAGACTGACTTTTAATCTGAAAATACTTCACTGAACTTGAAGAGAAAGTAATAAACTTGCATAAATTCTATGTGGACAAGCAATTGATTGCTTGTTGTTTTCTCTGTAATAAATAGAGGATATTTAATGTTTTGTAGTTGGATATGGAATTTCACCAGTGGGACAGGATTTTTTCTAATGTATTTTCACGAGCGCGAAGCACGGGTGAAAATATTTAAAAAAAAATCCTCTCCCACTCGTGAAATTAATTCCATATCCAACTACAAAACTGAGAATTTTCTGTTTATTAAATTTTCTTTTATTTCCCTTTGCCTATGACTTTTCTGAACACAGTATCACAGCCTGTGACGTCATAGTTGAGCGGTTGAGACGTTATAGCTTAGCAATTGTTAGATTGAAAACATTGTAACATGGATTTTAGCAACATATTTGGGAAGATATTGGCAGTTTTAGTCTCTATCATGATGGTTAAGTTACTATCTCTATCTTATGACAGGCCAGAAATTATTTTTTACTTACTTGATATCCTTTCACACTGCGACAGATTATCACTTTGGTATCCTTTCAGAATGTTACAGAATATCACTTTTATTCATTTTAAAATAAATAGCAGTATTTCACTGTTGAAAATGTAATGATTCATTTTGCCTAATGTAAAATGATATTTTTTCATTCCCACGTCTGTATAATAATAATTATTATTTTCTTTTTTCATTTTTTTTTGTTTATTCATTAACCTTTATTTATTTTGGCATCCTTTAGTTTTCAGAATTATGGAATTCCGAAAGAAACTTTCTTTTTACTTAGCGATTTGAAAAGTTATGTGTCCATGCATCGTACTCAGAAAAGAAATAAAAATAAGTACTAGTATTAAGACAAAAAACGTAGCACGCTGATTATGAAACAAGCTAATACAGGGAATATGTGTCCCCGCTTAACGAAAAAAGAAGAGAATGGAAAACTTGAAAAAATGTTGCAGATGGAGAGAGAAAAAAGGTCGACCTTGACCTTTCAGCTTTTGGTCTTAAGAGGCAGTCCACCAAAAAAAACCAGGCAATGGGTGGCACATCGCATGTCATGGATTTTAATTATTTTTTGCATTTAGACTTATTAAAGCAAATGTTTACACATGGCAACATCAAATTTTTTTTAAGTGTTCCTCTAGTCCTATTTTTGTTAAGTGCTTAATTTTAAGTGCAAAAAGGTCAACAAGTTGGTTAAAAATTTACTACGTTTTTGTTTTGTTTTATTTGAAACAGATACTCAAAAACTGGATGTGTCAATAAATATTATTTATAGTATAAACCCTTATCTTTTATAATATCAATGAATAAGACACCAATTTATATATCTGTAGAAAAAATTATGTGGTCTAAACTTGAGTTAAGCAAGTGACTTAATGAATTCACTATCCAATTTTCATTACGTTCTAAAATCCAATACATTTAAATGTCAAAACTTTCTCCTCATGTTATCATGAATACAAAGTACAAATTGTTGAATCAATTTAAAATATCGGTGGGAACAGGTATATTGAGAAAAATAAGAGGCGTCAAATTACCTACTTTTTAATATGTTGACGGTGCAACCGTTAGGGCGAGCGCAGATACCTTTCAGTTTTAATTTAGATCGGGCTCGTCAAACAGCACGTGACATTTGCTACGTCTAGACTCTGACGTCATATGACGTCGTATGTATGTTGCATTACCAAAACGAAGTCTGAACAGTGCTAATTTTAATCAAGAACGTTTGATTTATATGCTTTATATCCATTATATCAAGGTGATTTTATTTTTTGTCGAATTTTTGTTGCTACCGCGAGAACGTTGTTTGCGGCGAGATGCAATTCGCTAAGCATTATGGGACCACAGGTAACTGCGGAAAAAAATTCATTTGGATCAATGTGTAAAGTCCGAATTTTCTCTTCGCCCAGGTGTTGCTTTAAGAGCTCGCAGTGACGAGCGGCGCTTCGCGCCGCTCGCTGCGCTCGCTATAAATTTATCCAAATTAAACCGATCCCGACCGGAATTATATAAAGAAGAAAGCTACTATGATTTCATCATGATACTTGGTTGTTTTGTTTTAATATGGTTTACAAATTACTTGATTTATTTTTAAACATATTTTTTTAGGTGGCAATTACCATAAATTTCATTACTTAATAATTTTGCATTAATTTCGATCGGGATCGGTTTTATTGGTTTCTGTATTAAAAATTAGAAATATTTTCTAAAATCGGCTCTTCGTTGTATTTTATCGTAGGAATATGTCTGTATTTTATTTCTTTTCTTTGAGTTGCATGTTTTTAGATGATTTTATCCATAGATTACATATATCTTAATTACTAAATGTTTTTCAGGTCCATGAAGATCTTTTTAATTACTTGTAAAACATCTGTTTGATTTCTTGATACACACCTATTTAAAAAGATATTTGTTTCATGTAACAATTAATAGCAAATTTTAAGCTTAATAAAATATCTCATTTCCAAGGAAAATATTTTTCTAAATTATCTGGACTAAAAAGAAAATCTAAAAAAAAAAAAAAAAAAAAAAAATAGTCATGCAGTGGCGAAATTATACGTGCACGTACTTTAATCCAGCAAGTATTTTTTATGTGTACAGCCTCGGCTTTAATCCAATTTTTTTCATCCATTCATCATATTAAGGAATATTTTCATGCTCTAAGAAATTTAATTTGAAATAAATAAGAAAAAACCTGTACACTTACATACATATAATCATGATAATAGAGCCCAGAAATGATCGCACGGAAAAAAAAAAAGCCGGGGGAGAGGGGTTTCGTCTGGGCGGCATCAGTTTTGTAACTGGTTTGATGATAATGAGATATTTTGGAAATTTACCAACCTACTGACTTATTTTAACTCAATATAAAGTATTAGGATATGTGGAACAATTGTCATATTTTAAAAACGAAAATAAAAAAAAATGTTCCATTGACTCATCTGCCGTTTTAGTGTCAGCTTGAAGTGGGGCGTCCAGCAGTAGAATTGGCAACATTTTCCTCATTAATTAGTGAATTTATAGATTTCTATAACTTTTTCTATTTCAGATTTTACATTTTAAAAAAAAAAAAGAAGTCTAAACAGAATCTGAACCACCGACACTAATAGTAAACAACCATTGCTAATATTAGTGAAGTGGGATGTGACGAGTACTTCCGTTCTTACAACTGTTAAAAATTATTCGGTCCGACAGTCGTATAATGCTGATATTTGATATTACTGCATATAAGTTAACATATTCAAGTATTAACAACACTTCATGAAGTGCACATCTCGACTTTGCTGAATTTAATGTTGCATAAATTTGGAATATTCATTATTACTGAATAATAAGAAATAATCCTTAATCTTTTCATATCCAAATTTTATCAATTTAATCCTATTATGATTACTGTAAAGACGTTTTGTACATGTATAAAACTACTTATCAATACTGACTTGTTTTAAAACATCTATAGCTGAGGCACCGCCCGTGAATAAAATACATTCTGGATCACAATATTATTTAATGCACTCGGAAAAGTAATTGGACAGAAAAGAGAAATTATTTAACGTAACTTTTTAGAAATCTTTTTCTTTGCACGTTTACATAAATTTACCAACTTCCGCGGAATATTTGCAACTATTGTGACGCAATATTAGATAGGGATAGTTTACATCAATGGAAACGTGGTTTCAACCTGAATAATAAAGCAAATTTTAGACTAAATATTATGTTTGGAGGTGAAAATTAATTCCGTTTTTGAAAATAAACCAATTATTTTTGGTTGAATGATATTCTTTAGCGTATCAGTTCTAAATTTCTCACAGGGGTTCTGATAGTAAGATGTTTAGATGATTTCCCGATGCTACGGGAGATAACTCTTGCATCATAGAATTTCATAAAAATGACTGTCTATTTTGCAAGAAAACTACTATTGAAAATATTTTTCCCACTGATTTTATTTTTTAAATTGAAAGATGAAATATTTCTTGTTTTAGTTTGGAGTGAATTATAGATCTGTTGAAAATATATTAGAATTTACAGTTCTTTGTTTCCGACCTACATTCAATGGTTTATATAGGGGAATTCAAAAAACAAAACAAAACGATATTTTAGTAAATAAGCTATTTTCAAACAAATCTTTACTTACATTATTCCATATGGACTACATTAATATCATTTTCAATAAAACATCAAATATTCGTCACATTCGATGTGCCGCCTATTAATACAAAACTGCCTGGTTTTCTGGTGGACTGCCTTTCAACCGAAAAGATATTTAGCCTGCCATCTGATTGTTAATACCTCCCATAATTCTTGCATTAATTTAATAGCAAAATATTAATCTGACACGATAAGAATGCCAAAATATCTGATCCCGGCTAATAATACCCCCCCCCCCCTCCCCGCAGTTAAAATCTATGATTCGTGCCAAAAAGAAACCTGTATTGGTCACATGCACAAACAGAATGGATGGGATTGGATGGGAACTTATAAACATGCAGAGGTTCCATGTCACAGCCGTTTTCTGCATAAATAAGAGCCATAATTGCTCAATGGACATAAGCAGTCTTTTCCTGCAATTGGCGATTTTCTAATTCGAGCGAAACATTCTCGAAGGGACAACAATTTGAAAAAAAAAATGTTTCTTTTCCTTAATTATATCCTTGTTTTCAACATTTAAACAACAAAACACAAACAATTATGCCCCTCCCGCCTTTTTCGCCGATATACACCCCTGGGCTTGTTAGGTTTTTCCCCCCACAAATTATTTTTCTTAAGACTTTTTATGCCCCTGGATCGAAAGATCCCGGGGGTATATTGTTTTTGTCCTGTCTGTCTGTTTGTCTGTTGTCAACTTTAACCTAGCCCATAACTATTGCGCTGTCAAGGGTAAGGCTTTAATATTTGACATGAGTGTTCATTATGGCAAGACCTATCCACTGGTACACAAATTTTTTATCATGTGACCTCAACTGTGACCTTTGACCTACATTTGAAAAACTTTAACATTGACCATAACTATTGCACTGTAGTCTACGTCCCACACCAGAATTGTGTTGTCATCGGGGGCATACTGTTTCACAAACACATCTTGTTAATCATGTATACCATAAATATACACAGTCGCGATTTTTTTTGGCTTTCCCTCCAGATTTTTACAATGGTAAATATAATTCATAAAATACTATCAAAACTGGGTGTTGTGTATTTGGGGAAGAGGGTAGCACCATCCACGAGTACATGTACATGTGCCACAAAAGAAGACATCTTGATTTTTCTTAATGAAAATGTCATGCACTGACTACATGTATTCTAGAATTGAATGTTTATCTGTAGAGTTCTTTGTCTATTTGCCGAATTTCTTTTATTATGCGACATGTAATCTGTTGTAAACTGCATTTCTCTGCATAAATTTGTGATGCTCCTGAGGATAAAATTTGGTTTTATAGTCGGTTAAAAATCTCTACAAGGCTTAAATGTTAAATTGTTAAACTTTATTACATGCCGATTTTAGATTTAAAAATTATTTACAGAAATTACAATGATATTGCATTACTACTTCAGAGTTGGCGAAATGTGCCGGATTACCGACGATCGCCGGTAGATTTCATACATGTCCGGCAAAAGTTGAAACCATGCCGGACATCGCGTGTCCGATAAATATTAAAACACCAGTACCCAGAGAAATTAAAGTTATTCCCGTGTTTTAGGAAAAATATTACTGGAAAAAAAAACCACGGGAACTTTTACGGCATTGTATTGCTTTTATCGTGCAGACAAGGATTGAAAATATTGATGAATTTGAATAATTTCAAATCAGAATGCATTGTTTACATTTTCTGGAGAACAAGACAAATAAAAAATCTGATTAAAATTCTTTCTTATAATTTTCAGTATTAAATTGGTTTTAAAAATGATTGATTGAGGCCAAAATGGCGCGAAACTTAGAATGATGACGGAACGTCATAGTCATGCAGTTTTACTTGTGACGTAATGAGTTAACGGTAGGCCCAAAATAGGCCCATGGCACTTAACATAGTTTTTGAAATAGGCCCAAAATAGGCCCGCGGCACAAAGAATGTTAAAGTCTATCTTAGTTTGGTTCGTTCATGACGTTTAGATTCAGTGCAAAAGCTTACAGAAAAAGCTTACCAAAGTTATCAGCTGAAAAGTGCAAAAGCTTACAGAAAAAGCTTACCAAAGTTATCACCTGAAAACTATGTATGCAATCTATAAATTTCTTTCCTTGGTCTTTGACATTTTGACCTAAAAAATCAAAAGTCATTTTTAAGTCACATTGACTAAAAGTATAAAATTTCAATGACAAACCGCAAAGAGAACTAGAGTTACTAGAGAACTAGAACTACAGGAAACTATTTGATACAAGATATATATATATTTTTGACCTTGACCTTTTGAACTTAAATCAAAAGGGATCTTTTTAAAATCATTGGGATTTATAAAATTTCATTGAATAAGCTCAAAGACAAGTAATCATCTGAATACTTTTTTTGCCATGTATTAATTTCTGACCTTGACATTTTGACCTCAAAATCTACAGGGGTTCTTCTTTGACCTGCGGGAGTTGTATAAAATTTTGTTGCAAAATTTCAACTTATTTCAAAGATATTGTCCGGAAATGAAAGTGTTACACAAAGTCAGAAAGCAGAAATTTCTGACCTTGACCTTTGACCTTTGATTTCAAAAGCAATATGGTTTTTCTTTAGGCCATAGGGAGCTAAGATATGAAATTGCATAGCAAAATCTCAAAGAAAACTAAAGTTATCATCTGGAAAACTTTTTTTCCTGCAGTGTATGAATTTCTGACCTTGACCATTGACCTTTTGCCCTTAAAATCCAAAGGGAACTTCTTTGGGCCATAGGAAGTTGTAATATTAAATTTCATCGTAAAAGCTCAAAGTCCTTCTGAGATATTGCCCAGAAACGAAAGTGTTTCACACAGACAAAATGCATGAATGTTTGCCTTGACCTTTGATTTTTTCACCTGAAAAATCCATAAGGATCTTTTTAGTCCATTATGATAGGGAGTTGAGACAAAAAATTTCACAGCAAAATCATAAAAAGTTTTATTATATTATTGTATATTATTATACTTCACTGAAAGTTGGAAATATTAATTTAGGTCTGTCCATCTGTCAGTCATTCTGTCACACACTGTCTGTGTATATTACACTTTCGTTTACAATAGCTTAAAAAGCCTTTGAACTTTTGCAATGTAATTTTATATCCCAACTCCCTATGGCCTTAAGAAGGACCCTATTGATTTTGGGATCAAAAGTTCAGAAGCTCATATATTGCAAGAAATTGTTCCAAATGATAGCTTTAGTTTCTTTGAGCTTTTTTAATGATAATTTATATCATATCTTCCTGTGAACTAATGGCGATCCCTATTGATTTTGAAGTCAAAATGTCAAAGGTAAAGGTGGGAAATTCATACATTGCAAAAATGATTTTTAGATGATAGACTTTCTTCTTTTAGAGCCTTTTACATGAAATTTTATTTTAATGCTCTTTGGTGACTTTAAGAAGACCTCTAAAAGTTTTTTCGTCCAAAGGTCAAGATTAGAAATTCAAACATTGCAAAAAATGGATTCCAAATGATAACTTGTTTTTATTTGAGCTTTTTATAAACAAATTACATGGTATTGCTCCATGTGACTTAAAGAAGATCCCTATTGATTTTGAGATCCAAGGGTCAAGGTCAAAAATTCATATCTTATAATGGTTTCCTGACGATAACTTGAGTTCTCTTTGAGTGTTTACAACAAAATGTTATACCTTTAGTCAGTATGTCTTAAAGAAGACCCCTTTTTGATTTTTAGGGCAAAAAATACAAAGAAGGTCAGAAACTTATGTCATGTATACATAATTTTTAGATGATAACTTTAGTTTTCTGTAAGATTTTGCAATGAAACTAAAGGTCATGATTTACTTTAACCCAAGAAAGACCTTTCTTGACTTTAAGGTACAAGCCGAAAGGCCAAGGTCACTATTTTTTCTTTCTCCATCTGCTTTTTCAGGTCTTCCTTGCTCTTCTTTTTACCTTAAGCTGGGGAGGCAAATCCCCGTGTTTTGAACATCTATCCAAAACTTTAAATGCATAATATGCATTTAAAGTTTTGAATAGAGGTAATTTAAGATGCTTTGCACATCGTTATAGATTGTTTTGAATTGTATTTAATATGAGTGTTTAATAGTTCGTTGATATTTGAAAAGTTTCATTGAGGGATTTTATAGTAACCCTATGACCGATAAACTTTGCGTCAGACACTTAAAAAAAACGCGCACGGAAGTTGGGGCCTTTGTCCCGTCGTATCTTTATTGTCCACTCTTTTCTAAGAGATAGATCTTTTGGAAAAGATGGAAGGATATTGCTGTGTCTTCATTAAATACCGTCACATACAATAAACCGATGAGCCTTTTTTTTTTTGTTTTATTTGTTTGTTTGTTTTTTGTCTGAATTTGCTCACTTGTGTTTTACGTCAGGTCTGTCTCGTTTTGAAAAAGCACTTCGCGCAGATTATTTGAGCCTATAGAAGGAAAACGTTCTTAAAACATGGTTGCCTTTTTAATAGATAACTTTTGAAGTAGAACATTATGCTCTGCTACTCTATAATAATTAAGTAATTTTTGAAGGACTTTTCATAATAATTAGCATAAAGCTAAATTTGGAAACAAATAGACTCTGGGTATATGTATTTCTGTTTAATTGTAGATTTCCAAACAAAAATCAATGAACCACATGTGCAAACAGAATCTCACATATCTTTATATAAAACACCCTTCTACGGTATGTTAAGCTTTTTTTCTCTTTTTTTTCTATACACATTAAACAAATACAACAGATCTTGCATATCTGAACATTATGGTATCTTGTTTTTTTTTTTTTTTCAGTGGCCATTACTGTTGCTATGATCTTTCTTCTGACTACCAGTCTCTGCCTTATCTATATATGCTGCAAACGAGTATCAGAGAAAAAACGTAACGTGACAAACTTAGAAAATACTGTAAGGTGAGTTGGTATTCTGATAACCAAACGAATATCATTTGGGAGCTTATGATAAATCCAGCATTTTTAATCTCAAGTGAATACTTTTGAAAATATATTATAAAAAAGGCGAAGCATCAAGAATAACAAACATCTGAATTTTTTGGTATTACAAAATTCATTCACCTAGGTTAGACTTTTCGTTGATTAAATATATACTTCTTGCCGATCGAGTTCAGAATTTTCGATCACAGGAATCTCTGATTATAGGGGATTTCTTTATTTGGCCTTTATTTTAAAAATGAAAGTCTAAATATTGAAATTTGACATCACCTAATAAAGAAAGCTATTTTGAGAAATGGAATAATTACATCAGCTGGCATTTAATGGTAATCTACTCGCGTATGCTCCAAAACTAAATACAGTTGAACTTTGGTATCTCGAACGCCCATATATTTTTTACAATACAATTTTCTGAAATACTGTACCAGGTTGTTCAAGTTGTGGTAATAAAAGAAGGTTAAATTCAGATAACAGTGTGTCATAACAAACAGATTGAACATTCACTATTGTTTAATCAAACATGTCTCATGTAGATTTTATTTGAACTACCACGGTGTATCACTTAGTACTGGAGTGTTCTAGGGTCTAAGTTTTAATTATCGTACGATCATCTTGTACTGTTTTGTATTTACATAGGCCTATCTCCATGATTGCACAACCAACAGACGATAATAACCCCTGAGTCTGGTGACTATTGTCATATTCTTTATAAAAAAAACTCTTGAAATACTGCACTTAAGGATCAAGTGACAGTGATATGCACTTCTAATAAATCCTTGATACAAACAATTTCAAGAATGACCTTCCTTAAGGGTCTTTAAAAGATCGCAGGAGAATATCCAAGAAGACGACATCTGCTTCGCTTTCTCCTGAAAGAATTGAGAAATGGTTTTGGATGTTATGAATAAAAAGTATTACTTTTGTATTGATTATTATCATAATGACAAACTTGTCTTTCTCTCGAATTGTTTTCATTACTTCAATAACAAATTTTCATATAAACTGATTAATCTTTTCTGTTCTTTCATTTAGTCTTGAACTGTTTTTTTTAACAGGAGTATATCTTTAAAATACGTGAATATGTTACTTTATTGTTGTGTTTATTTGTTATGTTGTTATTTTGTTTGTTGTTGCTGTTGTTGTTATTCAGATTTAATTTTACTTATTTACTGGTACCTTCGTTAAAATTGAAATAAAAAAAGAAGAAAATGGACATTTATCCTTTTAATTATCTCATCTACAATTGATCCTGCATGAAGATTAAGAGCCATTCTCTGTAACGACTTGAACTTTTATATAGGAGCTGTGGCACGCATAGTCTTAGAATTTCTCCAAACTCTCTATGATAAAAGTCTTTGATACTGTAAACTCAAATCAGGCAGAAATTGGTTGCTACGTGTCATGGTTACCATGGTAACATGTCCTAAAGTTTAAAAAATGGCATTTTTCAACATGTTCAGAGTCCCCCAGTTAACGTTTGCAGCAAAGCAAACAAGTGGCAATGATTGTTTCTGAAAGTTGAAGGCCTGATGTATTAAATGCATGATAAACATGTTTGGTAAAATAACTATTACATACGTTACTATGGAAACAAAATATTCAAAAGTAATAATTTTGCTCACTTAATTTTATAAAATCATACACTTAAGAATATTAAAAAAAAATATAGGTTGAAATGCAAGCAAATAATAGACAAGAGATCCTTGTAACATATACCAAGGACGAAATATGATATTTCTTACAGGTTGGCAATGGTTGCCATGGTTTTAATACCAAGAAGGGATTGTAAATTTACTCTCTTAGTGTTTAAATCTAATCTTATCTTTTTAAAAAGCATATTTTTATATAACTAATGATCAATTTTTAAAAACGTTCATGTGACCCTAATTTTCACATTTCAAAAAATTCAAATTCAATTCTTTAAGTAGAGCGTCGCTATGGAAATAAGCCCAAAAAATATGCATAAAAATCTGAAAAATATTATGTTTCCTTGGATACGTACCCTTGTATGTAGATTCCCAAAACTTTTATGATTGATAATTATGAACAACTAACCTGACTTTCAATTTTGACTGCCACCCAATCTCCAACTGGATGCAAAAAGCTGGCACATAGGGTTTAATATTGATATAAAATTAACAAAATCGAACATTTTCCGTTCTTGGTTACCATAGCAACAGTGTTGTATTTTTCAACAAACGTTATCAATATATGATATTCAACTTTAGTTCTACCAGTTAAGTACTATTCAAGGTGAGTTAAATAACATGTTTCTTGAATAAAAGGTAAGTAAATTCCTAAGGCAGCAAAAAAATATCACTTTAAACAACTGGTACATTGTTTCCATGGTTACACTGCAAAGTAACAATTTATCCCAATTCTCCTTATGTTGTCGGTATTGGTAGGTCCTAAGGATGTATATGTGCCAGTCATAAATTTTATCGATTTTCCTGAAGATAGTAGCATTAACCCAATCTTAGCAACATATTTTGTATGGTTACACTGTGTTACCATGGCAACCATGAAAGTTATTTTTAGAATAATATTGCCAATACCTAATTACTTAAGGTCAAATATTTTTCTTGTTTTTTCTTAGGTTGTTGATTGAGTTTGATCATTTAACACCTATCATTAGTGAATATTGAGCGTTTTTCTGCATTTTTCAGCATCTAAAATGTATTCCAAATGTACCCATGGTTACCACTTACTTAGAGATAAATTCTAAATAGTTTCTTTAGAGAATAAGTGGCAACAAGGTGTCAGGTTTTTGTGAGAATGGTTTGTTTGTTTTTCTTAGTCTTTATTAAGGCTTAATAAAGATTCAAAATAGCTGAAATTCTCAATTTTTCCAACTTTTCTGGCTGTTACCATGGCAACCAAGACACATAGCAACGAAATTTTATTTGAAACATGTATCTGGTGTCAAGTTGTAATAATGGGCAAAGTTTCATCAAAATCGGTGACCATGCGTGGCAAAGAAGTTTAAGTGGTTACAGAGAATAGCTATTTAAAATAGATTGCAAAATGAATGAAAAATGTTCTGTAATGCATTGTATTACTTTACAAAAAAACATATTAATATTTGTTTACAAATATGATTGAATACTTTACATGCACAACAATTTACCCTCTTAGTCTTATTAGAAAAATCCGTGTCTGTGTCGAAAGTAAAATAATTTGTACTAAAACTGGACCTACTTGCATTAATTGTACATTGACCAATTGTTACTGACTCAAAGTAGGAAAATGGAGATAATACATGATTTTAGTGCAATTGCAAGTTAATTGGTGGATTAATTAAGTTTGAGTCTTTAGATAGAGTCTGGGGTATTAAAATTCAAAGTCAAAATTAAGTAAATGCAACAACTGCAATAGGTTGTTTATCTTTAAATGAACATGTCGAAGCTGCTTACTGAATTGGATACGTCTCTGTAATTTCCTAACAATAAAAAAAACTTTCAAAACATTGCAGCCGGTGTCTAGGTTGTAGTGATACATTCTAGCAAAACGCTTGTACCGATATATTTTTATTCATACTTCTAGTTAAAATATAGCGTATGGTTCACATTGTAACATCTTTTACTTAATAATTATCATAAACCTATGACCCGAATATATTATCACTACAAGGTGTTAAAGAGTGGTCATTAGTAGTGATCATGTGGTGAAAACTTGATGTTATCTGATTTTAGTTCCAAAAACAGAAAATATCAAATTGTATACATCTTCTAAGAGACCGTTTGATAGTTTCATTTCTTGGACATGCTCAGTGAGATATATTTTTCTTCGAAAGAAATATTCAGTATTACATTCACGGATTACCTACAATTGTTACATGTATTCTGTACATTCATGTGTATTCTATTATATTTAGCGTTGACATATAAAGGTACGGGTGTAGTTATCAGATAAACGCTAATATACTTAAATAAAATACATGTATATTAATAGTTATGACTTCACATCTAAAATAGATACAATACATAATTAATTTAACTAGTAAGAAGCTCAACACACCCTAGCCAACCAACTAGAATGAAATCTTGTATAGTAGGAGTCATAGTTGTCTTCAGTCTGGTCAATTTTGAAGAATGTCTTGATCTTGACCAGTATAAGGTCACGTTTCCCTGTGGACGACCGGAGGACAAGCAACGGTGTCGATTTCCACATGAATTTTGTGATACAACTCAAGGATCTTGTTTACAATGTAACGAGGACATCTGCCGAGAACAAGACTCGGATCCCAGTTGTCGTGCATTCTGCTATGGTAGGTACAATCATTTTAATTCAACATTTTGATGTATCGACGTAAACTCTATCAATTAATATTTGTTATTTTCATTCATATGTCGACTCGATATGTCTTAGTGAAGTAAAAGACAACACAGAGCCTGTCACATCTATGTGTGTGACACACTAGTATTTGGATGTGTTACTGACTATAAACGTTAATGGCTAACTATAACAACTAAACTTTATGAAAAATGGATGACTTCTGCTTTTCCATTCCATCTTCCAAATTATCTTAATGGATCTTTAAGACAAATTCTAGCCTCCAGTTCCTACAAGATCGATTGATTGAGGATGTACACCCATTTCACAATAGATATCTCTTTTTAGTAATATTCCACGATCACCTGCAGATGATGTCTATGTCTTCCAACTGATATGCTTAATTTAAAACAGAGACAGGCTACTGAAAAATTAATTGATATTACAGTACTTTCAACAATCTTGTTTACATTCAGCATTTTCAAAAATTAATTCTATGGTAGTTTATAACGATCTTGTTTGTAAATGCAACCTATTGTTGGTTCGTATATTTACTGATATGTTTCATACCAATTATATGTACAATTGAGAAGACTTTTTATAACCTAACATGTTTTTGTGAACTAATTAAATGCACATTTTAGAAATAGATATATTGCTTCTAAACAAACACGCAAACGAAAAATATGATGAATTTTGCAATGTTTATTTAGGTTTTGATATTTTTAATTGATAATGTAGTTTTTTTTTTATACAGTACTCAATTGCTCCCTTTTTGAACTTATGACAGCTTTCATGAGTTTAGGCATGTTACGAACTAATTTTTTTGGATTTGAGCACCGTTCTCGCTAGAATGCCTTCCACGTATCTTGATTTATAAGTTGTTGGCATGTTTTGAGTAAGATCCGGTCTTCTATATTTGACCCCAAATGTTTTCATTTAGGTTTGAATCAGGACTTTTCCACGGCAACAGAAATGCAGAAATTTCGTCTGGAAAAAAAATTCTGTAGTGCTTTTTGAATTTTTGCATGCTGCTAAATGTTTTCATGGAAATATCAAAACAAGCTCACGTGGTACTAACATCTTTCAGTATCACCAGAGGCCTGTTCAACAGAGCGAACGTTCGCGAGCGCTCGCCAAAATTCCTTATCTTTCCAACAGAAATGTTCGCGAGCGCTCGCGAACGTTCGCTCTGTTGAACAGGCCTCTGGTGAGCAGAAGAGAGTTTCTCGAACGCAAATCATTTTCTACACTAGCGCTATCGGGAAAACAATCCTGATTGAAACTAAATATAAAACATTTACGGTGGAATAAGAAGACTTTGATATAAAGATGCCAACTGATAAAGACACGTTAGAGGGAATAGTACTCGTAGTAAGGAGATGGGTGAACATGACGAGCGATAAGCCTATAGTGTG